AAATTCAAAATAAAATAGTTTTTGAAATTGAAAATAAAGTATTACTATTCAATATAAAATAATACTTAGTAATTGGAGATAAATTTCAGCCTATTTAAAGTAAAGAATGGTATTATATTTAATAACTATATATTTAATATTTTATTATAAAAAATATATAAATTTTTGTAATTGATCATTATAAGCTAACTTTTTAAATATTTTTTGAATATAAAATACAAATTTATGAAATATTTTACTAAGATTTTTTATTATATATCATAAGTAAATTTGTTCTCTAAATATTAAAAAATATATATATAAATATTTATAATATTAAATAATTATTTAATTATTTATAAACAAAAAACTAATTATCATTTTTTTTATATATATTGTGTTATCCTCTTAATTAAATATAATATTAGAAAATCAAGTAAAGTAATTATAAATGAGACTTTTGGTGAAAAGCAAAAGATTTAATTATTATTTTAAAATATTTTTATATAAAAAATGAAATATATAATGAAAAATAAATAATATTTTATTAAAAGAAATATGCATATTATTTTTGTTTGAGAATTGAAATATCTAATTCAATAGTATTAATGAAATTATGTTATATTCTATAGTAAGTCTGAATTTTTATCTGTATATATTTGATATAAAAGACTAGTAGATCTTTATGAGAAGATATTTTATATTAGAAATGATGATAACTGATTAATAACAAAATTTTTATATAGAACTTTAAATTATTTTTTATAAATAATGAACTGACTAGTATGAATAATTCTAATATATAATTAAATTTTAATTAATTTATCTTTTTAAAGTTTGAAATGTGATATTTTATATATAAAAAATTTTATTTTCTTTATAAAAATAATATAAACTATAAATACATACATATATATATACAGTAACTCATAGAAAAAATGGAATACAGAAAAAAATTGATAAAATATGAATATTTTGCTAATAAAGAATTATATAATGTTAAAGATAAATATATTTTATTCATTAAAATATCACTTATTAATAATTCAAATTTTATTTTCATCTATTATTTTTATTTTATATAATAGTTTTTTTATTTTTTTTAGTATTCCATTTAATATAACTGAATTAAAAGAAGAATTTGCAGGTAATTTACTAATTAAGTAAGTCAATAATTTCTAGTTTTTTTAATATTACAAATTTAATTAATCTAGTTTATTATTTTATAGAATCATTCTAATATTATTTATTTTTTTGGCATTGAATTAACTAACTTTGTATAAAAATCAATTTCAATACTTTTTTATATAACTTATAGCTTTTTCTATAAGTCTTCTTTTAATAAAAATAAGTCAGAAAGATGTCTCAAATACCTATTAACTTTATTTTACAAGTATTCAATAGGATTCAAGTCAAAAAACTGTAATAACTAGTCAAGTAAGTTAATTTTATTATTAATAAATTATTACTTTACTTTTTTAAAAATATGTTTAGAATCATTATCTTGCTAGAAGATAAAATTTGTATTTTTCAGTATCATTTTTCAGACTGTATCTAATAAGTTAGTATTTAAAATATTAATATAAATATCAGCTATTATTTTTTTATCAATTTTTTTGAGTTTACCAACTCTATTAGTAATAAAGTAATTTCAAATCATAATTGAATTATTATCAAATTTTATTATTGATATGATATAATGATCTTTTAAAAATTTATCAGACTTTTCTTTCAATAATACTTTCTTTTATCTAATTCAAATAGTTAAAACTTGCTTTTGTCAGATCAAATTATTCACTTTTAATTATTAAATATTTAATTTCTGTATTTTTTTATCTAATTTAGAGATTTTACTGAGTAAAAACTTTTTTTATCTTATTCTTGTAAATAAGTTATTTTTTCAAAGTATTTTCTATACTAATATCCAGTTTATTTTTGAGTTTATATTAGATCTGAATAGTAACAAAATATTTTTTAGTTATACTATGTTTTACTTATAATATAACAAAAAAGTTAATATATAATCAGATCTTGAGTCATTATTAAAACTTTTAATTTTATTTTTCTTTTTGTATATTTGATAAATTGAAGTTATATCCATCTGTTCTAATGTAATAATTTCTTGAAATAAATATTCTTCTTGTTAAAGAACATAAATACAGACATATTTTTTATAGAAAAGTTAAGATATTGGAAATTAAAATTTTATTTTGATTATTATTAGAAATATCATTTAGTTTTTTATTTATTATTAAAATAAAAAAAGATACTTTTATACTTATCTTTATGAGTCTGAATTTCTTCTTTTAATTTGGTTATATTATATAGAATACTAAAAAAAATAAAAAAATTTATTATGTAAAATAGAAATAATGGATGAAAATAAAATTTATATTAATTGATAAGCAATATTTTAATAAATAAAATATATTTATCTTTGACTTTATATAATTCTTCAATAATAAGATATTTATATCTTGCTAATTTTTTTCTTGTATTTCATTTTTTTCATGAGTTACTATAGATATATATATCTATATTATTTTGAATTGAAACTGATTTTGAAGTATTAATCAGTTTAACTTTTATCTGAGTGTAATTCCATTTTCTCATCAATTTTTGTCTTTATTCTCTAAATCTCTATAAATTTTTATATATTTTAAGCTACTCTAAAGTATTAAAATATAATTCTTACTTTTTATTATAATTAGAACTTGATAAAGATATCAAGTTACTTATTATTTTATGAAATAGAATTCTAATATTTTTAACAATAAATTTTCATCATCTGGAAATTTAATTTTGATATCATAATTGAACTTTTTATAAATGTCATATTAATTAAGATAATGAAAAAAATCAATCTATATAGCTCAAAATTTTTTATTATATATAGTCTGTAACAAAAAAAATTAGAATTATTATTTTTGCTTTTATTCAATAAATATTTATTTAAATCATATAAAATTTAAATATATATACTTAATAATCTAGTAAATAAATTTACTTAAAGCATTTAATAGCTTATCTTAATAAAATTTTTTATGATTAATATTTTTTTATTAAAATTTTTTTTGAAAAAATTAATTATAAAAAATTTAAAATACTTTTTTACTCTTTTTTATTTGTTATTCAATAAATATTTGTTTAAATCATATAAAATTTTTAAATTATATACTTGATAATCTGGCAAATAGTTTATTTAAGATTAATTTGCAAAATAATAATCAAATTTAATTACAATAATTTTTTTAAGATTTTTTATTATTAAAAATTTTTAATTATAAATATAGAAATTTTAAAAAATTTCAATAAGATAAGTATATAAATAATCTTAAGTAAAATTATTTATCATACTATCAAGTATATATTTTTAAAATTTTTATTTTATTTAATAAATATTTATGTAAAAAATTAAGAATTCTAGTTTTTTTGTTGTAAAATGTAAAAATATTTATTAAAACTCTAGAATTGAAATGAAATATTTTAATTACTTATTTAGTAATACAATTTTTCTTGATTTTATATACAGAATTTCTTGTATAATTAGAAACTTAATTATAATTTATTGTTTTTGTGATTTTAATAATATATTTTAGTTTTGTCATTTTGTTTAATATTAAGTTGATCACTCTACAAAATGGTGTGATATTATTTGTTTAATTATTTACCATTATTCTGATATCTTTGTCTTCTACTCTTATTTCTTTATTCTTTTATATCTGTTATCTTTGTTTATAATTATAGTTTCTTGGATTTTCTCTCTATTACTATAATAATGGATCTCAGATATTTAGATATCCTTTAAATATATTTTTGATCTATCTTTGAGTCTAATAGCCTTTATTTAATTAAACAATTTTATGTATATTTAAAAAGAATACATGTATTTGTAAATTTATGTAGAGAAAACATCATATTTTACTAATGTTTTATAATTTTTTAAATAAAGGTAATTTATATATTATTTTCATATTTTTTGGATTTTTTCTGAAAGAGTTGCTCTAAAGTCATTGATTAAAAACTCTCCTAATTGGTTCCAAATATTATTTTCTGAATTATTTTTTAAACCCAATACACACCATCGAATAACAACGGTGAAGTCATCTCTCTCATCTATTATTTTATCATACTCTTCCTTAATTAATTCTATCTGCACCTCAATGGACCCACTTATATCCCATTTTAAAATGTTTGTTTCGAAGAACAAGAAAGATGATAACAAAGCATATTCGAAATCGAATGCGACAATGTTTTTTTGAAGAAGTGGATTTCCTACATCGATTTTAACGGTTTCAGTATAATGCGTTTCAGTATAGTGTGTAAGCTTTATTTCTTTAACTCCAACGTTAACTGGTATATCACGAGTATTTGAATCAAAATATCCGATTTCACATGGGCAACCGATTAAGATCCACTGAAGCATATAAGGTCTTCTTGTTTTTAATATTGGAAAAAAGAAACAAATTTATCAATTCGAAAACTACAGTTAGATATTTATGAAAGTATTACACTACCTGTCATCATTTGCTTGAATATAACCTTGTCGACGATCATGCCAGTTCACTGAGAATCCAAATTTGGTTTTCATACTAAATTTCACATATACATCTGTTATCCTTTTTCCTTCACAAGTCAAAACATTACCAAATAATTGGTAATTATCACTTTTCAGTTGACTTTCGTATTCAATTCGCTGATATCCGGAGCTATAATCCGAAAATGGTGTCGTATTGGACATTAAAATAAAATTCTCTTTTATAAAAAGATTTTCGATCTCATATTGTGTATTTATATCGAGGATTGTATATAATGGTATTACGACGCGTTTTATAATATACAATTCAGATTCTTGATTTGATGCGAAGTCAAACCATTTAGGAATTTGGCTTCAAAACGAAGCATAACATTAGTATAAACTCATAGAAATATTTCATTAAAAATTCAAATACCTTAGTTCTATCGGATGACCATTCATTGTAATCATATAAGAGGAATCAAATGGTTGAACCAGTTGCTTCCATTCTTCTAAAAAAGGATCTTTTAAACATTGAGTTAGTTTTCATATAAGATGGGTGTTTATAAAAAAAATAAAAATACCTATTTTTGAAAAATCATTAAATTCTTCTAAATAATATACGTGTTCAGTATTTTCTTTCAGAACAATTCTTTGCAATTTATTTCCAAGTATTAATTTTTTATGAATATAATGACCAAATTTCTGAAACACAAGCTTTAAATTCTGAATTGGTATGTTCGATTTTAAGGCATTTTGTATTTCTAAGCATAAGTCTTCAGTTGGTTTTAGATTTTGGATATCAAATGTAATCGATATTTGCTCATTTAAGATTTCCAAATAAATATTGTTCGCCTTTAAATCATCAAATATTTCATCATTGACAAATGATTCCTGAATAAAATTTTGTTCCTCTGGTATTTCATTTGATAGCGAGATTCCTTGTGATAATAAGAATGATTCAGAATGGGTTGCAATGCATCTTAAGAACAAACTTTTTCCAGTAGTAACTTCAAGTAAAGGCGTAAAGTTATTTTCAATTGCCGGCGCGTATGATGGTGCAATTTGAGATCCATGATTTGTTATCCCATGGAAGAAATTGATTTTTTCGCCTTGAATATCTATTTTTTAAATCATTATTTTTAAGTGAATTTAAATGTCATGAATTGTGCATAAATATTGTTATTTCCTGCTGACAGCGGAAACTAATTGAAAGACTCACCTTTTCCATTAAAATAACATAATGCAAGAATAGATTGTGCCTGCACATATCCACCCTTTGCAGATTTCAAGTACCACTCAAACGCTTTTTTTAAATCTTTTTGTGTTCCAATCCCATTATGATAACAATCACCAAGATTACATTGTCCTCTTACGTCACCACTCTCTGCTGATTTCAAATACCATTTAAATGCTTGTTTCGTATTTTTTTGTGTTCCAATTCCATTTTGATAGATATATCCCAGAAAGAATTGAGCCAAAGAGTTCCTGTTATCAGTTGATAACTTTATAAAAATTTTCAAGGCTAATGTAACGTTCTTTTCAATTATGAATCCCGTTAGATAAAGAAACCCTAAGAGTAGTTTATTTTTTTCACTATATTTTGAAAAGTTCTGAATTTTCAAAGGATGACAACTGTATAAGTCGTAATGCGATTTTAGTTCAACGCCTATTTCATCAAAATTTTCCTTGTTTCTAAGTAAATTATTTAACAGATCTACTAATTCATCAAAAATTTTGATTACTTTTTTAATTGAAGTGACTTCGTTTTCATCTGCAGCGGTGAAATTTTCATTCACTACTTCTGGAATTGTTGACTGATAAAATGGTGTTTCTGATCGCCATTCGAGTTCATTTAGTTGTTCATTTACTTTATAAATATTAGGTCGATTTTCAGGTAAATCCCAACAGGTTTTGTATAGTTCCACGTACTTAACAGGAGGTTTGTCTATTGGTTCTTCTTTCTCGTTAGATGAATTTAAGGCAAATACATGCCGATTTGGAATGCAACCGCTAGATATAACCCAAAACAAAACACCGAGACTGTAAATATCTGTTTTTTTATTGCGTAGTAAAATCTCTGAAGAACCTAAAAATGCGGGATCAATATAACTTAATGTTCCCAAATCTCTCGGTGAATTTGTGTTTGTCTTCAAAAGTTTCGAATAACCTAAATCCGCAATTTTAATTTTTCCCTTATGAATGAGGATATTATTATGATTCTATCATCAGAAAAAATTTGTAATTAGTACAGGTCTCTATTTAATAAATAAATTTATTTGCCTTATGCCTTTCGTCTTACCAGATCACCATGAACTATGTCCAAGTTATGTATATTTTTTAATCCTTGCGCAAGTTGCTTTGCTAAACTTAATTTATCATTACCACTCAAATAAGAAAAATTTTCGCATAAATAATCTTTAAGGGTTCCGCCATCGGCATACTTTATAACCATCATATATTTTTGCGTATGTAAATCTAATTTAAAGTTTATTAGAGAAAATTTTTTGATTATGAAGATATGCGTATTATAATACCTCTAGTGAATCCATAAAATTGAATTATATTTTTGTTGTGGTTAAATTTAGAAAGAATTTTTATCTATATATATGTTAAAAAAGCGTGAGTTTTATGTCTTTAGTTTATTTCTCAAATATGTTAAATACCTCTTTGATAAATTGCTTATTTGTTTCTTCGGAACCTTCCTCATCGCTTAGATAAACACTCTTTAAAACAACAATCAAATCTTCGTTTTTCATTTTTGCTTTATAAACTTCACCAAATGCTCCATTTCCAAGAACATTTTTAGTTAAAAAATCATTAGAATCAAAAAATTCTATTTGATTTTCTTTAATTGCTGATTCTATCCATTCGTTTCCATCAAATGGCCATTCGAGTTCATCTAGTTGTTGATTTACTTTATAAATATCAGGTCGGTTTTCAGGTAAATTATCCCAACATGCTTGGTATAACTCGACATATTTATCAGGGGATTTTTCTTTCTTATTGAGTTCGTCCGAGACAAACGCGTGTCGATCTGGAATGCAGCCGCTAAAGATAACCCAAAATAAAACACCAAGGCTGTAAATATCTGATTTTTTATAGCGCAGACCACTTAATAATACGGCGGGATCGATATAACATAATATTCCCCAATCTTTTTTTGATGAATTTTCTTTCAAAAGTTTCGAATAGCCTAGATCCGCAATTTTAATTTTTCTATTATGGATGAGAATGTTATTATGATTCTACATACAAAAAAATTCGTGATTAGAAAAGATTAAATTTAATAAATAAATTAATTTATTATATAATGCTTTACGCCTTACCAAATAACCATGAATCATGTTTAAATTATGTATACTTCTTACTCCTTGTGCAAGTTGCTTGGCTAAATTTAACTTATCGTTATCAGTCAATTTAGAAAAGTTTGAGTTTAAAAAATATTTAAGAGTTCCGCCATCAGCATACTCCGTAACCATCATGTATCTTTGCGTATGTAAATCTAATTTAAAGATCATTAGAGAAAATTTTTCAATTATGAAGATATAACTATGCGTATTTACCTTTAGTGATTCCATAAAAACGAATTATATTTTTGTTGTGGTTAAGTTTAAAAAGAATTTTTAACTAATAATATGATATACTAATGCGTGAATTTATAAGCCATTCGTTTAGTTCTTCAAATATTCAAATACCTCTTTGATAAATGTCTTATTTGTTTCTTCGGCTTGCTTCTCGTCGCTTAGATAAAAACTCTTTAAAACAACGTTCAAATCTTCGTTTTTCAATTCTGCTTTAAAAACTTCACCAAATGCTCCATTTCCAATAACATTTTTATCAGAAAAGTCATTAGAATTATAGAAAATCATTTGATTTTCTCTTATTGCAACTTCTATCAATTCGTTTCCATTAAATGACAGCGTTTTTGCATTATTTGATGCTGAAAGCCATTCTATTTTCTTAAGTTGCTGATTCACTTCATAAATATCTGGGCGATTTGCTGGTATATCATTCCGGCATGCTTGATAAAGCTTAATGTATTCGTCTGGAGTTCCGTAGATAATTTTTTCTTTTTCCGACGAGGAAATGCGTCGATATTGATTAATCGGAGGACGCCCACTGGAAATAACCCAGAATAGCATACCAAGGCTGAAAATGTCTGATTTTTCATCAAATTCAAAGTTAGCTGCATCTTTTAGAAATGCCGGATCAGTATAACCCAGATTTATTTTTGTATCGTTTGTAAGCTTCGAGTAGCCCAAATCCGAAATTTTGATTTTTCCTTTATGCACAAGAATATTATTGTGATTCTATTAATAAATATTTAAATATTAGTATGATAACGATAAATCTAATTTAAAAATTGCTTAACGTGAATTTTTTACCAAATCTCGATGAATAAGGCCTGCATCATGTATGCACTTTACTCCTTTAACGAGTTGTCTAGCCAAACTCAATTTGTCATTGCCGCTCATTTTATCAAAATTATCATTCAAATATTCGATAAGAGTTCCGTCATTAGCATATTTCAAAACAAGCAAGTACTTTTCAGAATTCGTGTCTAAAAAAAATTTTATTCTTTAATGAATTATATTAAAGGAACTTTGAAAAGGATAAAATGAATATTTACCTTGAGTAATTCCGTAAAAGCGTAAAATATTTTTATGACGATTAATTTGAATAAGGATATTTAACTATAGAATGAAGAGTAGTTTCATTAATACTAGCTAGTCTAGTCTTGAATTGAGCATTTTAAAATGATACCTCTTTAATAAAATGTTTGTATATTTCTTCATTATATTTTTCATCTTTTTTATAAAAGTATTTTAAAACTACAGTTAAATCTTTGTTTTTCAACTCGGCTTTATAAACTTCACCAAACGCTCCATTTCCGATTATTTTTTTATTGGTGAATAAATTAAAATCAAAATATTTTATTTGATTTTCCGAAGTTATATTTGACCAAGAGGACGACGACATTACGTTTGTAAATATATAAGTACTTGTACTAATTTTTGAGTTGGTTTTTCTAGTGTTAGGAAAAATAATTGGCTCTTATACCCGTACATTTAACTCCAATATCTAATCTAAAAATTAAAAATTGAAACCTGTTTACGTTTACAAAATTTTATCCATTGTCTAGTTTACTTTTTTGAGTGTAAATAAATAAGCATTGTTACAGTTTATGTAACGTGTTTAGATCTGCGAATATCATATTTGGTATTAATTTTAGGATTTTATTGGGGTACAGAAGACATAAGAGAACAGTTAGATCTCTCTATAATCACATCTCTTATACATGTAATCATATTTATTTATTATTTTTCTCCAATTTTGTTTTGATTTTTTATATATCTTACAACACATTACAAGAAATTAATTGTATTTATATATAGTGGTATGTGAAAAACTAGCAATTAATTTTTTGATTATAAATAATTAAATAATTATTCAAATGATATAAGCATTTATATATATCTATATAATTATGAAGAGTATATATTATAACAAGTTATTCTAAAAAATTAGTTTTCTTGATAAAATTACAAATAAACTAAATAGTAAACTTAATATTACTTTGCAAATACTTAAATAAAATAGAATTTATAAGAAAAATCTCTGATTTGATAAGTCCAGATTTTGTACGTTTAGAATTAAATAAATATAATAAAATTTGATAAAGTATATTATCAAGAATATATTAAATTTATTATTATATTTGATAGAGAATTAGAAATATTTGAAGCTGTTTCAGTTGAAATCTATAGAAAAAATTGTAAGTCTGAATATTTATATTAATATTTTTCAAAATCTGTTATAACTTATAACTTATCGAAAAATTTAATTTCTTATTTTTTTTAGTTATTAATTAGATATAATAAAAAAAATCTTTTTATAGTCATATCTCTCTATAATTATCATATTTCACTTTCTCAAATATAATAAATATAAAAAAATATAATTGTAGTTTATAAAATTAATTATAATATATAACTTATCGAAAAATTTAATTTCTTATTTTTTTTAGTTATTAATTAGATATAATAAAAAAAATCTTTTTATAGTCATATCT